GCTCTGTTTGGTCTAAAACGTAAAGTTTCGACAAACCAGTTGTCCATTAAAGACTTTTTTGGTAAAAAGAAGTAACTTTGAAAGAGAAACATTGCTTTTTTTTAAATTTTTAATGTTTTCCCGCATTCATCGTTTTTATTTCCCACCCCCGCCGAAAACGATGCATTGAGGTTTCACTGTATGTTCTTTATAACTACTGAAGTACTATTTTGTAAACATTAGTACAGTCAAACTCGTTTATAATGAGCACGGTTATAATGAGATCTATTCTATTGTGAGCGAACAGAGAAGAGTTGGGTGGAAATTATTATTTTATGAGCAAAGTTTCATAGTGAAAGTGATCACGGTAGTTGAGAGCTTCACAGGTATAACGAGCAAGTCCTTAGGCCATTATAACGAGCAGTGGCTGACCTGCCATACAAGGGACTAAGATCTATTATTGGTTTGCCTGTTTATGATATTATCCTCCTTATCCCTTTCCACATCACTCCCAATAGCAATTTTTAACCCTTTTAACAATATTTACAGTCTACATTCATAGTATGTTTGGTTCAATTTCCATTCTCAAAATCTTATTTAATATGGTGTGCTATTCAAAGAGGGTAGTCCTCGTTCCAGTGGTGTAGCGGAAATCCCTGTACACCCTGCTTGGTGGGGGTGCCAAGGACCTACTGGGGCTCTCAGGTATCAGGGCAAATGTATAGTGATCTAAATGGTTACCCATGGTGGGGGAGGGCAGAATGATTCTGCTGCACTGCTGCCTCCTTTGAACAGAGCATGTCCTACACTGTGGTTGCACGTGACATTGAGCTTTTTGTTTTTCCCCAATCTCTTAATCCTTTCTTCTTTCTCTTCCATAATGTTATGGATTCTTAGAAAACCTAGGGAGAGAAACTACCTGGCAAACTAATCAATTAAATTTTTCTGTATCGATATGAAATATTCAGCAAAAGTAACATATAGGTACAATAACGGATATAACGAGTAACGCCTGTAACAAGCACTTTTCCTCAGTCCCTTGGATCTCGTTATAACCGAGTTTGACTGCATGTTTAAATGAGTCAACTGGTTGTATTTCTTTCCAGAATATACAGGTGGTGTGAAGTGGTGATATTTTTGTTTTTTAACTTGGTATGCCATTGGTCAGGTACTTTGTGTGTCTTGTTTTCTCTGTCTCACTAATGTCTTTTGTTTCTTATTTCAGAACTCTAGAAAACAGCCATCAATACTGAATTACTTTTCTGACATGTGTTCATTAGATAATGAACTAACCAATGACATGTTAGCAGGCATTGACTTTGAACAGTTTGAAAGTTTTGAGAAGAGGCCAAAGCTTAATTAGAGCTGGAAACAAATCAGTGTTTGAAATGTGGATGTTCGTTAAACAGAACAATGTCTGAAAGTACATTTACCAGATGTTATTAGGAAGGTCATTGCAAAACATTGTACTTTTATCTATTTTTAATTTGTGTTACACCGCAACTGGCATGTGTGATTGATGATTTATATTTAGTACTTCAGATTTAATTTCATATGTGTACTCTATACTGGAATTTTATAAGGAACCATTTTATTAATGGAGAGGTATTCAGTGTCTTGTGTGAAATACCCAACTTTGCATCCACTTGTAATAATAAGAAGTGAATTTTTATATAAACTTTGTTGGCAACACAGTATGTCAGATGATTTTCTTTTCTCTTACATAGAATATTTTCATGCTTACATCTTAGAAGTATAGTAAGAGTAGCCCAAGATCAAAAGCCATTGATGTACAATCAGAAATCTTCCTCCTCCTTATGAAATGTTTCAGGAACTGCTTCAATCATGATCCTAACTTGTATATCTGAATTTCAGTTGAAGTAAACTCCTTGTTTAACTGCATTACTGAAATATTCAATTGACGTACATTTGCCACACATCAATTTACATTGGATTTTTTTTTGTTGATCTGTGGTTCAAATAACAGAATTGTGACTCTTTCAACGTCCATTTGTTGTTCATTCATGATACTTGAAATTATTTGGACTACAGACAGTTAATAAATTCAGAATTTTGGCCAGTGATTTCCAGTTTCCTGTGTGTACATTTATTTTTATAATTTGTATGTCCACTGCAGTTGTTAATTTGAACATTTTCTCTGTCCTGTTTGGGTGAACTACTGAAATGTTTGCCCTTGACAGTAGTGTATTTTTCTTCTGCTTCAAGGTATAGGCCTGTTCCAACTTCAAGAAAATGCATTTTTGACAGTAGCTAACAGTTTAATTTGACATCATCAGTTTCTAATATCCCCATTGTGGACTAGATTTATGTACTGAAGATTTTAAATTTACCATCAGTCTGTATAAAACAAATTATTTGAGAAGAAGGAGAAATTCTAAATGTAATGCTTGGAATAAAAAAGTCCTAGTGTTGATTTGTTGCTGGTACTGGCACAGACCTTGATAGTGCATGTTATCAAAAGGAAGCCATTGACTGTTCATCTGATGGTTTGGATGGTACCAGTATGTGACAGGATAGAAAAATATCTTATTTAAATTAGTAAATATTTCTGTATAACAGTATTTTGTCATTGTGTAATAAATATTTAATTAAACACTATTAAACAATAGTAGTCAGGCTTAAACTGTGGGCTGAGCTACTATTTGCACATTTATGGCAACATGAACATTTTTGTTTAAATTGTGATGCATGATACCACTTGGATTGCAAAGGATTGTTATGTATGAATGCAGTTTAAAAGCTGAACTGTTGGATAAGACATATACAGCAATTCAATTTTTAGTGATATAATGTGTCCACATACTTTACTAGGCCAACATCTGAGTTTGACATCCATTAATTTGTATTTGATCGTTTGTGGGCTGACTTACAACAGTGTCTTGTGGCAATTGTTTAGAAATCTAGTATTGTGTATTTAATATGAATTATTTTATTTAGCTAGAGGAATTGCTTATTATTGAACTCTAGCTGTTATTCTGAAATACAACACAACACAAACTAGATTGAAAATATATAAAACCTTGTCCATACCTACACTTCTTTATGGATGTGAAACCTGGATAATGAAACAACACGACAAATCAAGAATTGCAGCAGCAGAGATGAAGTTTTTAAGAAAAACAGCCAAATACACATGGAGAGATCATAAAAGAAATTATGTCATCCACAAAGAACTACAAACAGCCAATATTGGAAAAATCCACAGATACAGAAGGAACTGGATTCAACATGTATGATGAATGGACAAGAACAGATTGCCACATTAAATTTTGAAACATAAACCAATAGGAAAAAGAAACAAAGGATGCCCTTTAAAGAGATTCCTGGATGTTTGAGGCCAGATGATGATGATTTTTCAGGGACAACTTTTTCTTTGTGAGATCTGATATTCTCATGGTGAAGATGTTGATGTTGGTCTTCTGGGTTGTAATGAAATGTGCCTGTATCTTCAACCATGAATATGGAGGCATTTGGTATTTACCTACATGTCCACATGGTGCTACATTGACAAGTTTGTCTTTGAAGTCTTGTCTTTATTTATTTTCCCATACTTGTACCATCTGTTACATGTCCATGGAGCAAGACATGGGGTAAATTATTTGCTTGATGGATATATACAGACTTTGCAGCATTAACATAGTGATTTGGACCCAATGTCCACATCACCATGAGAACAGTACCAACATTTTAGGGACTTCACAACTGGCAGAGGAAGTGTTAAAACTTCCTTTCAGATGTTTAGTAGTTACATATTTGACATCCTCTGGAGATACACAGATTACAGGTGTTTGAGAATAGGGTGTTGAGGAGGATATTTGGGTCTAGGAGAGAAGACGATGGGCATGGAGAAAACTGCAAAATGATGAGCTTAAAAATCTGTACTCCATCCCCCAATATTGTCAGGGTGAAGAATGAGTTGGGCGGGTCATGTAGCGCGCATGGATGGGACAAGAGGTGTGCACCGGGTATTGGCTGGGAAGCCTGAAGGGAAGAGACCGCTGGGGAGACCTAGACGTAGATGGGAGGATAATGTCAGGCAGGATCTATGGGAGATAGGAGTTGAAGGAGACTGGATTTTGTTGGCCCAGGACAGGGTCAGGTGGAGGGCTTTGGTTAATTCGGTGATGAACCTTCGGGTTCGGTAAGCCATCTAGTTAGTTAGTCAATAATGTCCGGTGGTAGGTAATATTCAAGAGAAGCAGGAGTGTTAGAGAAGACAGCTTCATCTAGGCTTGTGCTAAAAGCAGGTACCATGTAATTTCAAAAATTTAGAAAAGTTCATGGTGCATCGTGACATCTGACCGGGAAAGCAATAATATAAAATGTATAATAACACGACAAATATAAGAGTATAATAATAACCCATTTGAATTTCAATGGGCCTTTTCTATCGACATTTTATAAATTCGTTTAATGGCTGATTATTCCTAGAGGAAAAAAAGTCGCTGTGTATCTTGGAAGCCGTGTTTTAATGAGAAAGCTGCGTTTTAGCGGTTGAATAGGACTCGTTTGCAGAAATGAATACATTTGATGTTAACGATATTACTTAAAACGCACTTGATCTTTGGTGATGAATGTATCATAATACAATGGAAAGTGAAGGAAGGCAAAAGAAAGTAGAAGCTGGAAGGGAAATGGTGAGTATATTTAGGCTATTACGCCTATGTCTTTAGTTTGATATGTTTGTTATTTATTTAACAACGCTGCCAGTTGCTCAGGCTGTGAAGCGTAGAACGATAGTGCTATCAGTGACTATGAACTGGAAATAATATGAAATTAAGATGTGGTGGCTTATTTTTAGTAACTACTATCATCGCTTAGAGGGACTGAGGAAGACCATGAAGAACCTCAGTCAGGATTTCTATTCTTCGAGCCAAAATTTGAACTCTGGTTCTCCTGAATACGAAGCAGGAGTGATAACCACTAGCTCGTCATTGGAAATTTTCTCCATGATCTGTCTTCCACCCTTTTAGGTCCAAATATCTTCCTCAACACTGTTCTCAAACACCCTCAATCTGTGTTCTTCCTAAAAGTGAGAGACCAAGTTTTGCACCCATACATCACAAGTGGCAAAATTACACTTTTGTATATTTTAATCTTTAGATTTTTGATGTGAGATGGGAGGGCAAAAGATTTTGGACTGAATGATAGCAAATAGTCCCTGAATTTAATCTGCTCTTGATTGTGTCATGAATGTCATTCTGACTTGTTAGTGTCATCCCCAGCTATTTGAAATTTGTCACATTTTTGAATGATTCATTAGCTATCCTTAAATTCAGGTTCTGTCCTGAATTCTGATGCCAAGACATGATCTGTCTTTTCTGTATTTATTTCTAGACCAAACATCCCAACCAGTCCTTAAGGGTGTTTCTGTGTTTGCTTTTATAGTATTTATATTATCATCCAACAGATTAATATCATCAGCATAGACCAAAAGCCGGTGTGTTCCATTCAGTTCTTTTGAAACTATAATAGAATTAAAATATATATGAATGTCAGTGTGGTAGCAGATCAGACTTGCATACACAAAGAAATTAAGTACAGATTAAATTTGTGGAATGTTTGTTATCATTCAATTCATGTGTATGAGAAACAGTTTTGCACCTAAAAGGACGAACATAGATGTAGAGTGTTTAAGAAGGGAGTGCTAAGGATAATATTTGGACCTTGGGAAAAGAAGTAGCAGAATGAAGAGATTGGCATGAGGAATTTTTATAATTTGTACTCTTTGCCAAATATTATTAGGAATCAAATCAAAGAGAATGAGGTAGGCAGGGTGTGTAGATGTGTGAGAGAGATGAGAGATACAAAATTGTACACTGAAATCTTGAAGTGTTGATGACACTTGGGAGTCTCTATGATAATATTAAAATGGATGTTAAGGAAGTGGGTTTGAGTACGTGGGCTGGATTCATGTGGCTCACAATAGGTATTATATACATACATGGAAAAAACTTTCCATAAAGTGCAAGGAATTTATTGACTAGCAGAACAGATGTTAGCTTCTGAAAAAGTCCTGTTCTTTGGAGTTGGAGGTTATGTCAAAATATGCAAATTTAGAAACATTTTGTTATACAGTTTTGTATTAGCAGCGCTTATGTACTGAATTTTAACAGGTATTAATTATTACTTTTTCAGTTTGCTGCGTACTTAAAGAAGAAAAATGGATCAGGTCAACAAGGTGATCAGAAAAAGAAAAATAAACTTAAAGATGAAACTCAGTGCTCAAAGGAAGTTTCTGTGGCAGGAGGGTCTTTGGATGTTAGTCCTGTTTCTTCTTTTGAAGATAGTGAAGTGGTTAATTTGGCAAGTTACATAAATTTTATAGTTTATTTCTCAGATTTTTAAACTACATTATCCTGTTGCATTTTTTAGAACTACATTGTTTTTTCATCAGTGAACACGCAGCTCAAAAAATCATCCTATTCTTGTCACTGCTTATTCCATTAATTATTTAAACATACTCATATAAAAGGTATGATGAAATGTAACATGTTTCAATTTATTCACCCATCTATAGGCAAATAACTTGAATCTTATGAAGTCAAATATAAATCTTAAAATTCACAAATATTAAACTGTTACATAATTAAATGAAGCCAAGAAGAATTTATTATAGTTAGTTGCCATGAAAGCTTCAGTTCATACATAACTGTGAATATGTTTAGTGAGAAGCTGTCGAACACAAACAACAGATGATGTTTATACTTCAGATTGGCTTGAGGCTGACAAGCCTTTAATTTATAACTCTAGATTCTTATAAACTCTTCAAAAGAGTCTTGAATTTGGGTATTATAATATGCGAATAGTATTAACATTGATCTGCTAACTTGATTTGTATTGGATGTATCATTTCATTAACTACCCTTATATGAATTTTTTACAGGAAAGTTCAACAAAAAACAATGGAACGAGTACTACTTTAAGTGGGAGTAAACAAACCTTTGAAGATGGAGGTGAGATGTCTTCAGACAGATTCCAAACCAGATTGAGAGAGTTGGAGGACATTCTTTGCAGTATGTTTATTTTCTTCTTTTTGAAATTACAGATAATATTCCAACAGTGAAAAGACACTGTCAGGTTTGTTAACATGCATCAGTGTTTATTTATATGTCAGGAATGCTGTTTACCTACCTGATTAGAAGTTAATGAGCTCATAAACAAGAATTATGTTCTTTTTACCTGGTTTGTAATATCTGGAATCCACACCCTCTCAACTCTACTTCCCTAAGACCCACTTCATTGTTATACTCCCACCTACACCTGCATATTTTGAGTGATCTCTTTATGTCAAGCATAATTAATCTTTACATAAGGGCATATTAATTTTTTTCTGCATCATTAAATATATATAGAGCTGAAAGAAATATAGTTTATAGTAAAGTATGTATTTTGTGTAATTTTCATCTTTTATGTTTGATGAGCAATTTTCTGAAAATTTATTGTATTTAATTTTAGTGTAAAACACTATGAACTCTGTATGTATGAAGGTTATGGAGAAGGAATATGAATAGAGAATAAATATAGAGTTATAAATTGTCATGGGAGAATACAAACTAAGTATTAGTTCCTTTTTGTCAGGTAAAGAAGCTGCATTGGAAGCAGCACTCGAGGAACTTAGTGCACTAAAAGAAATTACATCTTTTGATGTCTCCTCTGGCGTACTAGAAACAGACTACAAGACTCGTTTTGAGGAGTGTTGTAAACGGGTAAGATGGCCTCATTGCCTTCATATTTTTCTTAATATCTTTATAAACATTTTATAATCTGTGCAGTTTATATAGCATTAAAAATGACAGGATAATAAATTGAGATGGATGTGGGAGAAAGTGGTATTGACATTGTTGATGCTGATCTTCTGGGCAGTGATACCTTGTGGACTTGTTGGTAGATTCAAGCATTTTCTAGAAAGAAGATGTTTGTCTTCTGGTGTGTTGTGCCATGTAGTCTGGTAGAAATTGAGTGGCATTACAGGGGTTCTTACTACCTCCATTATTAGAGAGATGATTGATTGATTCAGTGATAGGTTTAGAGTCGTCTGTCTGCTATGGTTATATGCTTTTTAAGTAATCCATTCAAAATAACACATTAGAGAGGTGTACTTAAAATTAAATAATTCCAAATCACTGGTAATGGTCATACCATCATGTCTCAGTCTTCTGCAGAATCTCTTCCACTATATCACAGAAACTCCTGTGGTTAGACTTCCATGGTTGTGATATGACCGTCATATGTGAAAATGAGGTCTACCACATGAAGGAGTGATTGGTATTATGGTAGATGATTTATGTTTGACATCTCTGCACTATTGAAGATTATGGATTTCTGTTACAGCTGTTGGAATTTCAAGAAGCAGTGGAGCACAGAGAGGGGATAATCAATCAGTTAAGCAGTTCATTGCAGCAGGCTATTCAGACACGCGATGCTCTGCAACTTCAAGGGGACCAGCTTGCACAAGAAGTGGCATTATTGCAGCGCCAGCTGAAAGCCACCACAGAATTGATTCAGGGTCATCACTGGGACACCGGCATCAAACCTCAGGATTACCTCTCTCTCCAGAATCAAGTATTTAATTTTAAGTAACACTTCTGACTTCAGTCGCATTGTTGTTTAAATGTAATTAATTGATATTCTGGTGATCACTGCAGTAGACATCATTAAGGTGGGTGTATAGAAATGAGTCTAGAATGGGGATGGTGGTGGTGGTGGTGGTTGTATGTGGCAGAGTAATGTCCCGAGCCAAACATATCCAGTCAGAGGTTGAGACACATTTGTTGGAAAATGGCTGGCTTATATGAAGTTCACTCCATGTGTTAATGACTCTGTACCTCCACCTTCCCAAGTCCAAAAATCAAGTTTGCCTGTCAGATCCTAGAACATTGTTGCAACAGTGGGACCCAAGGTTCACCCATAACATTTCTATCACATTATTGCATAAATGACCTTGGATACTATTGTTGCCTTTGATACCAATATTGCGTTTATTGTTAATTTAGAATAAGAGTGATTCAAGTTTACAATTCCTTTGAGCTGATGTCACCACCCATGAAGTGGCATGAGAGAACACCTTTGAAATTTCAGTGTACTCCAAAGAATACACCTTCTTAATAATTTTGTTACTCTGCTATCTGCAGTCATCATGTTCTGCTTGATTCTTAATTTTCAGGTTACAGATGGAGAAACACTCCTTCATGTCTTTTAACCTCTTTTATTTCTGCTTACAGGTTTTAGCCCTTGAAGCTGCAGTCAGTAGAAATGAGTCTGTCATTAGTGATCTAAATTACATTATCAAAGAAAAAGAATCCACACTTCAAAGTAAATCTGACGAACTTCGGAAGAAATCACAGGAACTGAGCCAGCATAAAACAAAGTCTGCCAGTGAGGTTAGTAATTTCTGTAGTGCAAATTGGGTCTTTTGTAGTGCTAGTATTACAAGTTTCAGGGCGCTCAGTCAAACTTTGTAGTGTAAGCATTGTGTATCAAAGAGATGGAAGATCATGTTATTCGAAAATGGAATTGGTACAGGCCAATGGGCCTAAACCTTGAAGATGATAATGATACATAGTTTTACTTTAAATGTGACAGTAGTTAATTAAATTATTTGTTCTTTTGCATAAATATATACCAGTCCTTCAGGTCGGACATTATTTATTTTGTACACCACGAAAAGTACCCTACATACATTTCTTGACTACCTCATTGATGCTGAAAAAGGGAAGAAATTACAGAAGTGGTAAATTTAAATAAAGATTGTAGATACATTTTCTGTGTCAAACTCTGTGTTTTTATGAATCTAAAATTTCTACAGTATGGATTCTAATCACAGAGACTGACTGAAGTTCAAGTTGTTTGAGTCATAGTACTGTGTGTTCAAGTAAATATAGGTACTGGTGTGTATTTTGACCTTTCTGTCATACTGTCTTCTTGTATTTATTGTTTCAGATTCAGAATCTGATGCGTGAGGTGGAAGAGCTACATCAGAAATGTGCCATTATGGCAAGCAGCCAAAATTGTTTGATACTAGAGCATGAAGGACAGATGGCAGCACTTCAAGCTGAACTTGAAGAAAACTTTGGTCTCCAGCTTGCTCAGATTAAGGAGGAGCTCAGGTGATTTTCAACAGAATGTCTGCTAGCATGGGATCACTCTGAACTTCAAGTTTGGTGGGAGCATGTAGATGAAATTCTGTGATTTGATGCATCAAATTTTGCAGATTTCTTGCCATGTCAGAGAAATATGATACCTTAAACTGGCCAGTATCTCTTGCCAGTGGCTGCTTGGGTGAAAACAGGTTGCTGCCTTCTTAGACCTGTGCAAATCTGTTTCAAGTTTGTGGTGAAAGATTCCAGTAGAGAAAACTTTGTGAAGTTGTGTTTTCTCTGACATTTATTGTACTGTTTTCAGTTTCCACTTTGTCATTGCTATGATTAGCACAGAAGCTGAAAAAAATTAATTCTTCTGTTGTAACACAAAACTTCCATAAAGAAAAAAATGTGATGTACGAAGATTTACCAGGTATTAGAGTGACATCATCATACTGATAATGGGTATAATTTTAGTGGTGCGCTTATATGTAAATTTACAGAAGTTGAAAACAAATTGGCTGGTTTAACCAGTAACATAAAAGTATTGCTATTTATATTGATTACATTCGTCATCGAAGTTTATTTTTTCACATATCATCTGTGATTTTGTAATGTTTTTGGTGAACAGAACAGTGAATTTCTGCAGCCCTATGGATTTGCATTATACTTTTGTCAAAATTGAAGAAAATTAGATTGCTGCTCACATGATGATTCTTCGGTGATTCTAGCAGTCTCTTGGTCAGAAACTTCCACTTCATGTGTCATTAATTGATATTGTTATGTAAACTGTATATTTCAATTTTTTTCATAAATATAATATTAATTTGTATTAAAAATTTGTATTTTTAAGTCATGAATCATTACTTAAAATATTAATATGAAAGAAATTTGGTAAAACACATAAGTTTCTGTCCAAGTCTGCATTGTGTGACTCAGTAAATATACAAGGTATACACAAAAGAATGGTGCGGTTTCAAAATTTAATAAAAAATTTATTTCTTACCTTACATGGGCACAACATACATCATCAGCGGCGGCAACCGTCCAAGTTTCTCATGCGTTAATTACAATCCTTCAATGTGTGCACCCTGGGTCACACGACACACATCCACACGGTAATAAAACTCATCCCAGACCCGGTGTAGCATGTCCACTGTAATGGCCTGCAGTGCATGCATTATCCGATCATGAAGTTCATGGATGGACGTGGGCAATGGTGGTACATAAACGCTGTAATTTACGAACCCGCCGCTGATGGTGTATGTTGTGCCCGTGTAAGGTGAGAAATAATTTTTTTATTAACTTTTGAAACCACACCATTCTTTTGTGTATACTCTGCATATGAAAATATCTGTTTTATCTTTGTTTATTCCAGTAACACCTTCTTTCTCCCAAGATGTTTCCATTTTATGTGAGTCATCTGTTTTAGTGAGCACCATTCTGTTAATATTTATTCACCTATTTAATGTTTCTAGGAATCAGTTTAATCGGGAGAAAGAGGCATTGGAAAAGAAGCATGTTGATGAGGTAGCATTGTGCCAAACAGCTTCACAGTCTCCCAGAGCTGGAGAAGAACAGACAACTCTTAGCAAGGAGCAATTGGAATCTTTACATTCTCAGGTGCAGGAGTTGTCAGATGCTAGAGAGAAGCTGGTAAATGAGGTGGCAGAGCTTAAACAGTCTTGTGTATTGGAAGTGGATTTACTTAAACAAAAAATTTCTGTACTTCAGGAACAGCTGGAGGGAGCTGCCAAGGAGAAACAAACTTATGAACAGCATGTTTTAGAGTCCAGAAAAGAAATTGAAAAAGGTTTCACAATGTATAAAAATCAGGTTGAAGATTTAAAATTTCAGCTACAAGAAGCTTCAAGAGCTGAAGTGAAATATTCAGAACAGTTACATGAATGTAGAAATGTTTATGAAGCTGAACTTTCATCTTATAAGCAATCCCATGAAATTGAATTAACTTTGTATAAAGAGCAGATAGATAGTCTGAATTTACAATTGCAGGAGGCTTTGAAAGCTGAAGCAGAGTATTCAGCAAAATTAATTGAATATAATAAAGCGCGTGAGGTTGAATTAGCATCTTACCAACAGTCCCATGAAATAGAGCTGTCTTCGTACAAACAGAGTGCAGAAGCACTGAATTTGCGACTTCAGGAAGCTTCTTTAGCAGAAGAAAACTTTCCAAAAGTTCTGGCTGCACATAAGCAGTCTTTGGAATCTGAGTTATGTAGATACAAGGAAGAAAATGAAGCTCTGAATGCTGAATTACAAAGGATTTTGAATAGTGAAGAGGTTCTCAGGAAAGAGAAGACTGAAATTTTGGCATCACATGATGTTGCAGTATCATCATATGAAGAACAATTAGCGACTTTAAAGGCGTCATTACAGGCTGCAGAGGAAACGGTAACATATCATCAACGTGAATTGTCTTCTCTTAAAACACAGCTTAAAGACAAGTCAGATGTTAATGATGATTATGTAAAAGAGGTGAAGAGTTGCAAAGAACAAGTTGTAACATTAACTACTCAGGTTGAAGAGGCTTTAAAATATGGGGAAAAATGTAAACAAGATTTTGCCCTCTATAAAAAATCGCATGTGGAAGAAATTAGTTTAATTAAAGATAATTTTGAATTGGAACAAATTCAGAGAAATTCCATTGCCAGGTGCCAATCCCATGAAGCTGAACTGGCTTTATGTAAACAACAAATTGATTTTCTTAATTCACGATTACAGGATGCCAGTGAAGCTGAAAAGTGTCATATTGCAGAAATAACTGCATGCCAAATTCAACTGAAAGAATATAAGGAGCAAGTAGACTCTCTTGATAGAAGGTTCAGTGAAGAGTTAATGCATGCCCAGGAAGATTTTTCTAAAGAAATAAATTCAAAATGTCTGGAAATTGAAACATTACTTGCACGCCTTCAGGAAGCCTCTGCCTTAGAAGAAAAGCACAGAAGTCAGATACTGTCTTCACAGAAAGAGATTGAAAATCTGAATGTGCAGCTACAAGAAAGAGCTGAGACTGAAAAAATAAGTAGAATGGAACTTGTTTCTTACCAGGAGAAAATGACAGCATACAGTGATGAAGTTCAGGCCCTTAAGAAGATGACTGCATCACAAGATGAGATGCAGACATACAAGCAGCAAGTGAAGACCTTAAAAGAAAGCCTACATTATGAACTGTCATGCCTCCAGGACTCCCACAGTATACAACTGAAAAGAATTGAGGAAGAACATGCAGTAAAGATTGAATCATTTAGTAATCAAGTGGATGATCTGACTTTAAAGCTTGCAGAGGTTACTACAGCAAAAGAAATACTTGAAAAGGAGAAGAATACATATCACAATTTATATGTAGCTGAAATAAACGAGTATAAATGCCAGCTTGAAGAATTTAGTGCCCAGCTTCAGGAGAACAGAAAGAATGAAGAGAAGTATGTTACTGACATGAGTGACTGTCACAAACAATTGAACTCATATAAAAGTCAAGTGGAGCTGCTGAATGCAAAGATACAAGATGATGTGTCAGAAATAAAGATTTCACATGCTAAAGAAGTGAATGACCTCAAAGATGAACTGCAACACTTGAAGAACATTAATTCAACACTGGAAGCTGAGGTTGTGTGTTTGAAGTTGGCAGCAAAGCATAGAGATGACTCCAGCAGAGCACAATTAGAAGAAGTCACAGTACAGTTCCTTAAAACTCAGAGTCTTCTTGCAGCAAAAGAAGAAGTAGAAGGAGCTTTGGAGAGCAGGATTAATGATCTTCAAATTGATTTGGAAAAAGCAAATCATAGTATTGACCATATTAAAATAGAAAATGAGCAGTTGCAAGAAATGACTGTACAGTA